TTTTCGAAGTGTGGGTGGTTTTTAAACCACCAGGGGAAGGATAAAAAGGGATACTTTGTAGCGCTGGTCTTTATCGCATGTGGTTTATTAATGAGACTGTGATAACGTCTCACCCGAAATAAATCGAGACATGTTCAATATATATAAACGATAACACAGACGGACAGACGCCCTTCGATACATCATCGGAGGAATAAAGTTTTCAAGATAACGAAAAGGGTTTTTGTTAGCTTGAAGACAACGCAGGACAGACGACGCTGGCGCACTCGTGTCGGAGGCCAAGACCCACTTTGGGTCGCTGCGCCAACGCAGTAAGATAGCATACTTTTGACTCAACTATCGCAGGATTGTTTAGTCTCGCTTTGATTCCTTTGAGCTTATGGAGGACTAGTCGAATTTTAGTTGTGCAACTAAACAGTTGAATTGACTGCGAAACAATCGACAATCGCAACAACAGTTCTGACAAAGGCATGCGCACGCTCTTCAGGTATTTAAAACATAACACTACGTTACTTAGGGCTTGTCCACATTAATTTATTACCTAAAACATAGTTGTTTATAACATTTACAAATATACACGACTAAATTTACGTTCAAACATTAATTACTAATTTCGTCTAGTGTAAACTAAGCATTAGTAGACAATGAACGGAGTAACGACAGAGCAGGTATGGAAATAAGCTCAATTGAGTAAATATTAAAAAAAATAGTACCGCATGTAGCGAAAGAAATAGAAGATGGAATAATTTAGTTGCTTCAACAAAATTGAAAACGTAAAAAAGTATAAAACATAAAATTTTAAATGGTTTTAAACGTTATTTCCTTTGAAGTTTTACTGTGTTAAATAGAACGGGTTGTAGTTGTTTGTACAGGCGGTCGTGTGGGTTGTCGGGATGTCTTGTTGCGTGCGGGGACTTGGCCCTCAAAAGTCAAACTGGCGCGACGACCTAGGGCTGTCTCTTGTAAAGATATCGATAATCGCCTCCATTTTATTTATCTGTAGAAACTGTCTAGATTACGTAAAGTGTAGCTTGAATGAATAATCCTCTATACTAATATTATAATAGGGAATTTGTGTTTTTGTATGTATTGAAAAACTTCAAAAACTGGGCCGATTTCAAAAATTCTTTCATCTTTAAAAAGCTACGTTATCGGTGAGTAACAAAAGCCGTAATTATGCGCGGACGAAATCGCCAGCAACAGCTAGTTTCTTATAAGAATTAAACTAAAGTTAAATAATCTTACGTTGCAAGTAGAACATTTTTGGGTTACTTTTTTTTATAAAAAATAAACAAAGTTAAGTAGAAAACAATTAACAGGTTCAATTTTAAATATATCTACGCTTAAAATAGACAGTTTTTCACACTCTTGTCATTTATATCGACAACTGACAAATGTCACACATGATATCCTCACTAAGAGGAACAAAAAACCTGTCTACAGGTCACCGCTGACCTCTCCAGGTAGGGTCCGACTGGGACAAATTGTAACGGCCCTGTGCCCTGTAACCCGTATGCTTCGCTGCCCTTTGGGAAGGGAGTTTTATTGCCCTACAGCTGTGTGATCGAACATTTACGTCGTAGAATGTTACTCTTTATGGTTAACCAAAGCGTGTATCATTTTTTTTAAATATCAATACCTCATGTATCGTAGAAGAATGTATGAAATTGTAATTATCTTCTTAATATTATAAATGCGAAAGTTTAGATGGATGGATGTTTGTAGAATAACCGCTGAATGGATATCTATGAAATTTGAAATAGATGGAGAGGATAGTGAACACAGGCTACTTGCTATTGTTTTTGTAATTCGACGCGGACAGTCGCCGAAGAAAGCTAGCATATCTATAATTTACGTTACTAGTACAAATATGTCAAGATTGATAATTGTTTTATTAATAGTTAAAAGTTGTGAAAACTGAACATTTCTAGATGAGATAGCAAAATTAAAATTGCGTTTTTTCTTATGTTGATCACAACGTTAAAGATTTTCTTTACAAATAATAAAAACTGTACTGTTATAATGTAAATTTCGTATTTATTACGATTTATCGAGTTCTACTGTAAGATTTTAATTTTTAAATTCAATCTTACTAATGTTATAAATGTGAAAGTTTAGTTGGATGGATATTTGTTAGAGTTTGTAACCTAAACGGCTGAACGGATTTCGATGAAAATTGGCACAGATGTAGAGGATAGTCTGGAACACATAGGCTAATTACTTTTGTTTTTTTTTAATGCCACGAGGATGGGCTCACGGGCGAAAGCTAGTATAAATATAAATATTAAACGTCCATTTCTGTATTTCAAATTGTTTCAAACTTTGAAAAAATAACAGTAAAAGGTAAGCGTCCGTACACAAACCAGCGCCATTTAAGCAAATAAAAGGATATCACAAAAAGAATATAATGAAAGCGGTTTAAATTAATACAAATTCATTATCAGATTAAAGGAAGGAGATGCAAAATATTGTTAGAGGGAGAGATAATGCGAAAGAGGGCAGGGCCCCTATAGTCGATAAATTACGGTATACCCTCATAACAAGGGTACTAAAGGGGCTCGTGTGATCATTTTGCTTTACAAGTGTTACTGATCAACTTCAATAATTATTTTTATAATAAAGCACTTGACCACAAATTATTTAATTTCCTACACTGACTGGGTTATATCTAACGGTCGGCTTTCACAGCCGAAGCATCAAGTTTCAGTAAACTAAGATCATGTGAACCATTCCAATATGAAAACGTCTCATGGCGCTTTAATCGACTGTTCTATAACATTTACGTAAACAATGAAATTAGTTCTATATCTCCCCTCAATGTTATAAAGTATATATATTTTTTGTCAGACCATCGGTTTGTCTGTGACACACGGCATTTCAAACCAACGGTTAGTTAAGTAAATTGCGAGTTAACCGTTATACAGCATTCCTAGACGGAGCCACACGTTAGATGCACTATTGTGCGAATTTACACTCCATGCAACTGTATATAGCCGGGACAAAACCTATGAAGTCACATTTACTGTTTAGTCAAACGTAGATTCACATGGAAATGCACACTACTCCATTTTTAGTTGTGCAACTAAACAGTTGAATTGGCTGCGAAACAATCGACAATCATAACAATCGTGCGATACTCAAAGGTGTGCGCCCGCTTTTAAATTATGGATACTAGCTGTAGAATCGGGGAAATCTGTGGTGTTGCCCTAACAGAATAATTGCCTTAAATTTTCTATTAACCAAACTCTGTCCCTTACCGGACGGAATAATAATACCACTGACCAACCTTTTTCGTAGACAATAAAAGCTGTTTCGTTATTGGTTAATGTTCCACGTCATCTTAATGTGTGTTCAAACGAAGCTTTTGAGATACCGCCAGATTCCTTCACTGTACATGTCGCGGCAGTGATGTTCTACACTAAGATGTTACTATGTCATTGTAGAGTAATAGTAGTAAGTAACAAGCAGTGTTGCTAAAAACGTCCTAGGGAAACGATATACCGATTACATTAGTAACAATCTAAAAAAAACAGATGTTATATCAGAGACGGGATTGTAAGACAAAAGGGCGATTTTTAAAAATAATATTTTTTAAAATACTCCTCCATTAACTTTTTTCTAATGTAGTTGGTATAAGTAAATGACATAGAAATAAGAAAAACTTTAGCAACACAAATATTAAATGTATTTTAGTTACTTCGTTGTTTCATTATAAAAATATTTTCGCTCATATTCTCTTGGTGGAAATAGAGATAGATGTATGTACGTGAGTTTTGACGGTGGAAATTATGAATGGTTTGTATATAGAAGTTTTCAGCGTGGCTGGGTGCAGTGCACTAGCCGCGCTGCGCGGGCGCACTCCGCCGCGCTCGGGCAGCCTCGGAAGTGCTCGGAAGCGGTCGGAAGCCCGAGCAGTGACCTAGGGTAACTACCGCCGGTCGGGGGAATTGTAACATGCTCTCAAATTAGACCAAACGTGCGCCACATACTAAATAATATTCAGAAAGGCTTGAATTTGAAGAAATAATATATCTTCTAGCAAATTCGAATTATAAAAGAAATGGTAAAGAACGTTCAGAGAAGAATATAAGCCATTAAATAAACTTCTAGCACTTTCTATGTAAACTCGTTGTTACATTTCATCTCTACCAGTGTTTAGTCATAATAAAGTTATATTGTATCGCATAGTAATATTAATTTACATAATACTGTGTAGTGAGCCTTATTTAACATTCCGTGTCGAACGTTAGTTAGAATTCCTCGTCGCAGTCTAAACAAGAAGGATCGCGGGCCGTGAAAGTGCGCGGCCATGACCGAGTGTATTGACCTTAGCTTCCGATACGTCTATGTTGGCCTAGGTTAGGCCCGCGAGCCCCCGCCCGCCGCGCCGCCGCCCCGCCGCCCGCTAACCCGCGAGCCCGCGACGCGGTGACGTGGATGTCTATGGCATAGCCAATAGCCAATAGTTACACAGACTAAATAGCAAACTACAATGAATGTAAAAAAACAAAAAAACAGACTTTAAATACTGTAATTCTAATTAAATGTAAGATGAATTTTTATCGCTTTTCATCGATTATTTAAAAAAGAATTAAGCATTTCTTAAAGTAAAATACTGTGTGCTATAAGATAGAAGTTAGAAAAATCATTGTAACCAGGTATAACTTATAAAATGTAAAAGTACATTTTAAAATTAAATCCTTCATGTTATAACTATTAAAATCAAAATAATAGCAGCAAAAAATATAACAAAAAAGTATGGCGACAAACTGCAATGTTAAAAATGAGTAAAAATGTTAAATTGAATAAAAATCCAACAGGAATCCAATTCACGCGGGAGAAAGCATCAGCGACACAGAATAAAAATCTTATCAGATTGACTTACAGATAACATAATGTAACAATTTAAATAATTAAAAAGAATCTTACTAAATACATTTTTTACTCCTTATTTTAAGTAATAAAAGTGAAATTAAAAAAATACATAAAATAAGACTCACGTGTGTCAGGACGTTGCGCAGAGGCGACCGCGTGCCATGTGCACCGGCGACAATTGGACGAATGGATGCAACACCGTCTCGTGTCTTACATGTGTTTAAGAATTAAAAAAAAATCTAACTGACATAATTACAAATCTTTATATGGCAACAATTATTGTTTTTGGTTTGGGAATTTCGCGAATGCGGCAACTTCGAATTTCACTGTCATGTTCAGTTTATTTTATTGAGGGAATATGATGTGTGTGTGTGCGGTCGCGACGTGCGGGGCGCGCGAGGTCTGGAGCCGCACTGCGCAGGCGCGCTGCTCGCCAGAGAAATTACGTCAGTGAGTGTACCGCCGCGCGCGCACCCCTTTCTTTTTTTCCCGCCGTAATTAATTTCTTGCGAGATTTTCGGCGAAGTTTTTTTTTATTAAGAAAAGAGCAATAACTCGTGATGCATTCAGATAACACTTTCATAATAATTTTTATAATCGGATGCAAAAATTAAATGTTGTAACATTTTATGTAGTCACTAAATTTAGAGATATCTTTTGCATCAATAATTTGGTTTGAGTTAAAACTAATTAACCCAGATAAGCCGACTATAAGCTAAGAATGAAGTGTCTGACATTGAAAGATCTCGGCATAGTAACTAAGCGAGATTCGAATGAGAACTTTCACCGGTAAGATTCCTCTAAGAGCAAAAATTCTAATACATGAATGTTTCAATATGGCGGTCTGTTTCCCGCGCTCCCCTGCCCCCGCGCTCCCCGCTCCTCCCTCGCGCAGACGGTCCCGGTTACCTGCGCGCGCACACATACACAACGCACACACACGCGCGCACCCGGGACGCGGCACACGCGCATCTAATGCCCATCACAATTTCAAAGAAGAAAGGAACAAATGATACATTTTATATTTCCTGACAATTAAGTAATTTAATGTTTCCAATAAGAATTAAATCAGAATATTGCTTATAAACGACACACGCATTCTAAAGTCAAACGGAAGAGAATGATTGTACACACACTTTGCTCGTATCTATCTTCATCTCAGGAAAAACTTATTTCATACAGCTGTTTTATAGATCTAATTTTGTACAAACTTGTCAATGCATCAAAATGTTTAAAATTCCGAGACAATGGTAGTCATAATTAAAAAAATAAATAAAATGGAGTATCATTTAATCTTTATCAACAACAATATTAGAAAAACATAACAAAAATTATTGCAATGCGGGATCTTGTAGTTGAAGCAGTATTTTAAATCCCTTATTAAACTTAGATACGAGAAATAAAGTAGGAATTCTCACATACGTCTATATGACCGCATCCAGAGAAGCAAGAAAGTATAAATAAAACATAACCGTGGCGCTGGGCTCGGGCGCAGGGACGTTGCCCGCGGGCGCTTGTGTGCGTGCCCAGCCCGTGTGCGTGTACTGTACGTGTGCGGCCTATGTGTGCATGACGCCTAAGTACACTGCACACAGAGATCGTGGCCGCTAGTTACACAGATGCGTTTTGTTTCTAATAAGAGTTCTTAATGAATAATATCTGAATTTTTGATAAAAAAAAGTTAACTTGGAACCTTTTTGGAAGGTCTTAGTAAATAGATTACTATTAGACAGAGCCTACAAAACTTATACCTTTTATATCTTCAATAACCAGAATATGAGATGACGGGGATACGTTTATTGCATAGCATTACGCTACGGTGTAACAGTCGGTCATCTAAACCACGTTGAGTTTGAGTTAGTAGCGGCGGGTTCAGCGTCTATCCCGCGCCGCCCGCGCCGACCAGCGCTGTTCCTATGTAAATATCGTACGTCAGCGACCGGCACCCCCCCTCGCACCCCTTTCGTCATTATTACAAAACAATTCCTAGACGTCAACATTAACCCTTAGCTTGCAACACATCGATATTAAAAGATCCAAAGCTTGTTTTATCAAACAAGTTATTTGCAGATTTAGTAGAGTGATGTGTTTAAAAATACATTTACAGCACCATCTATTGTTTTTGTATGATACCAAATTATTAGAAATAAATCCATCTAGCATCTTACTTTAGCACTCGTTTAAAATTGTAGATGTTACTTAAAATTTCGGAATAAACATAAACAGCTTATATCATTATAATCATGCGTGATAAGTTTTATAAGTTCAAGTGAGTTTAATAGTGTAATAGTCTATGAGTTAAAACTTGCGCTCCACACAGCCGCTGGTACCACATTGTATTGTAACCGAGCCGACCAATTATTCTGCAAAATGTTTCTCTACCACTTGTGTATTGCTTTCAAATTGCTAAAGGTTAAATTCTTTAACTTTGTACACATGCCTACAGTATTTACAGCCTTTAGACTTTCGGCCGATTATTGAAACGAATTTTAAACACACACAACGTAAGCGGTTGTTGAAGTATTAAATTTCAACGGAATAAAACTCAAGTTACGAAATTCGGAAACGCATTTCACGAAGTTCTCGAACTAAAAACACTATCGAATGGTTAAAATGGTTAAACGTAGATAGGAAACCGCCCATAAGTGTCGTTTCAGTATTTGGCCGTTAGTTCTCTAATGTGCTGAACAAATGTCCTGATCCAATTAAAGGTAAAGGTTTATGTACAGTTAAGTTATGATTAAGTAATTGTTTGTTTATACAAATGAAAAATGATATCGAGATGTTTTTGTTAATGTAATATTTATAAACGAAGATTTTAGAGCGGGCGCACACTTCTGACTAAACTATGGCACAACTGTTGTTGCGATTGTCGATTGTTCCGCAGCCTTCAACTGTTTGGTTGCTCAACTAAACGAGTAGAGTACGCACCTCCATATAATAACTAAAGAATCGCAAGACTAATTAGTTGTGCGATAGTTTAGTTTTCAGTCAGTCCTGTGCTACTTATTTCAAACAATATTGTTTATTTGTTTTTCAAATTGATTATTAATTAATCTAAATATAGCTGTAATGATATGCCAGGGATCCCTCACATGGTAACATGTTCCCGCGGGAGATTTTCTCACGCGTTTGCTCAGCAATTAGACGTGCAGGCTGGATACGAGAGGAGGCTCGCAAAAAAACTGAAGCAATAACTTCTAATAGCATGCGACTGGTTCTAACACAACCGGACTCCGTGTGGACTGTTAAGGAGATTACACACCGTCCATGGGGGGCAGGCTGATCAAGGGGGGATAGTAGATTTTTTTTATTCCACAAACAATGCTTTAATATATAAGTTAAAAAGACATTTTTGAGTTATCTTCCACTCTTCTTTTGAATTACTTTATTTTATAATTTTCTGTACAATTTCCTGTTCTATAAATAAAGAGACAAAAAATTCACAAATTTATTTATAAGCAATAATAGGTCTATTATTAATTATTGAATAAAATAAAACAAACTCCAAAACATTGTAAATTTAGTTTTGCTTAACGTCCTTTCGAATCCCAATACATATTCATCTTTAGTGTGCATGACACCTAGTTCTTTGTAATCAGGGATGTTTGATTCTGCAACTATTAATGCATGCGCACATACACGTCGAGCGGCCGGCAGGGGGCGCTGCTCGTCTTAGTAATCAAATATTAACGATGTATGAGAAACTTGTATATTTACGTTATTTAGATTCCACTTGTTCAGTTCAAATTGTCTAATAATTCGTCAATAATTTAAGAAATTAGTAGTTGATCAAGTAACAATAACCTTAGCAATAAAATGGCATTTTAAATTTAAACACCGGTTTTCATTTGCGGTGTGCAGTCAAGAAAATAAACATATTAATGCCATCTCTGTCGTTCTCTTTACAAATAATTGAGATGACTATATGTTGTAGTACATGTTTCTGCAATGGAAACTGAACCTATGGTTATAATAACCTAAACATGTAGAACAAAAAACTGTCGCCGGCGGCCATGTTGCATCGAATGCTCGGGAACGTATCCGATGCGTTCAATAAATTGACATGCTCCATATATGGTCTCTTGTTACCATTCGTCTTGAACGCAGTCGATGTCATAGAATTTATTTGCAGTGCGAATTAAATAAGATAATAAATAAATCGCTCGTAATATATTTCATCAGAACAGATCATTCTGAAGCTTATATATGATGTTTTTGTAATTTTTAATGTAAATTCAATATAAAGAAGCTTACTAAAGATCGGTTGACGTTTCTATATTAATTTTGTGAATTATAAAGAGCTGGTTATCTCTTTTTGTGATGTAATAATAATTTGTAGGTAACAATCTCTAACTTTTAAAAGTCCAATCTACGCACACTTCATCTATGACCGGTCGTGCGTTAGACGCGGCGTAAATTACATCTAAAAAGTGCAAAGGACAAAAAGTACTTAGGACTGTGTGTGTGCTGGCATTTTATAGCCATTTGTATACTTTTAGAACTTGTTATTTATTGTTAAATAATAGCCTTTCGTGAAATAATTCTTATATTAAAGGTTATGACAGTGTTTTGTTTCGTAATGGAACACAATATAGTCTAATAAAAAAAAAATTAAAACCTAGTTTATAAGAGAGAACCAAAGATTCTAGCCATGCAAAATCTTCTGTTAGTAAATAATTTGCTGACAAAAGCTTAAGACAATGTTTAGAGTTCTTTAAAGGTTAGATTGCAGGTTTGTGCAGAATTAAAAATGCTGGCGTTGGTATTTTGACACCGGGTTGACGAAGGGAAGCATCCTCAGGCATGCAGGATGTCAAAGAGGATGACAATGGTTAAGCATCTTGATGCTTCACGTCACCTGTGACGTGTTTGCGTTAGAAATATAAAGATATCGAAAAAATTATGATAAATGAATTATGAATTCAAATCAGGCCTTGTACATTCTTGAAAATAATAAAAATGCCAATAATAAAGCGGTGTGTTTGTCCAAAGCAAGAGCATTGCTATTTAGCCATGCCTCTAATGTTCCCTGTGGAAGGCGGGCTCGAAGGAATGTCGTCCTGAACTGCGTTTTTGCGCTTTTCACCACAGCTATTGACCACCGACTGGCTCAAACACATTATGTTAAAAGTACAATATACTTTCAAACGATTTACAATCTTAAGAACTTCGAACAAGATTGTTTTTTCAGCGTCTTCTGTTGGCATATGCGATGGAATGCGGCAATATTAGGGTGCCTTTGGTGCACTGATGGAGTCCTAAGTTCTTACGACAGTATCAGGTAGATATATACCTAATACAATTTTGACTTATTCCACGCATGCCGCTCGACTTGCTGAATTTAAGATAGGCTTTTTCTTATTTTATTTAAAACTAACTTTTGCCAGCGACTAAAAAAAATAATTCGTAGCACATGTTCTATCAGACTTTGTTCTTCATCTATGTCTTTCAGTGAGTTTCGTAAAGTAATTTTGGAGAAACGTATGGTAAGAAACATAAATATCCATCTAAAGAATTAGGTAGTAAGATTTTCAGTAATAAATTAACTAAGTGACACTAAATTTGTGTTTTTCATTAGTTAAACTTAGTTTTAAGACATGTTTTGGCTACCAATAAATATCTTACTTCTTACTAATATTATAAATGCGAAAATTTAGATACATGGATGGATGTTTGTTAGAGTTTGTAGCCTAAATGACTCAATGGATCTCGATAAAATTTGTCATAAATGTAGAGCATATTCTGGAAGAACACACAGGCTATTTACTTTGCTAGTTTTTTTTTTA